CCCCAGTGCCCCCCAGTGCCCTCTCCACCTAGTCGCACCCCTCCCAGGTCTTCACCACACTAGTGTCTCTCCATGAGCTTTGCATTTATGCAGTAAGGTCTGTGGTTATTCTCTGCCCGCACCCCCACTCCCTTCCCTCTGAGACCTGTCACTGTTCCAGGCTTCCATCCCTCTGAGCCCCTTTTATTCGTCAGTTTATGTTGTTCATTAGATTCCACATATGAGTGAGATCATGTGATACTTGTCTTTCTCTGACTGACTTATTTCACTTAGCACAGTGGTCGGCAAACTGCGGCTCTCGAGCCACATGCGGCTCTTTGGCCCCTTGAGTGTGGTTCTTTCACAAAATACCGACTTCTGCGCATGAGCCACGAAGTTTCAATCGCACTGTACGTGCACACCAGCACGTGGTATTTTATGGAAGAGCCACACTCAAGGGGACAAAGAGCCGTGTGTGGCTCACGAGCCACAGTTTGTCGACCACGTACTTAGCATGATACTCTCCAGGTCCCTCCATGCTGCCTCAAAGGGTAAGAGATTTTTTTTACAGCTGCATAGTATTCCATGGTGTAGATGTACCACGGCTTTTTTTACCCACTCACCTACTGATGGGCACTTGGGCTGTTTCCAGATCTCAGTTATTGTAAATTGTGCTGCTATGAACATAGGGGTGCACACATTCTTTCTGGTTGGTGTTTCGGGTTTCTTAGGATATATCCCTAGAAGTGGGATCACTGGGTCAAATGGCAGTTCAGTATTTAATTTTTTGAGGAAACTCCATACTGTTCTCCACAGTGGCTGCACCAGTCTGCATTCCCACCAGCAGTGCACTAGGGTTCCCATTTCTCCACATCCTCGCCAGCATTGTCGTTTGTTGATTTGTTGATGATAGCCGTTCTGACAGGTGTGAGGTGGCACCTCATTGTGGTTTTAATTTCCATCTCCAATGATCAGTGACCGAGCACTTGTTGTCTCATTTTGGAAATCAGCCCTTATCTGCTGTCTCATCGGTGACTGTGTCCTCCGCACAGGGGGCTCCCTCTGCATCTTGAGAGAGGCTTCTTGTGCTGTGCTGAAGCTTTTCGGTTTCATGTGGTCCCATCTGTTTCTTTTTTCTTCAGGCAGCACGTGGTCTCCTACAGCATTCATTGTGGACGATGGGGAGACCCCTGACGGGCTGAACCTGGGGGCCGTGGTGAGCGATGTGGAGACGGGAGTGGTGTTCCTTTTCTACTCCCTCTGTGCTCACAAGGCCGGCTGCCAGGTGGCCTCCACCATGTTGGTGTGGAGCAAGGACGATGGGGTCTCCTGGAGCCCACCCCGGAACCTCTCCCTGGATATCGGCACCGAGATGTTTGCCCCTGGACCGGGCTCCGGCATTCAGGTCTCCGTCCCGGGATGGGTGGAGGGGGTGCCTGGTGGAGAGTCTGGGAGATGCCCCAACATGGACTCCTTCCCAGGAGAGGTTCCTGCGAAGTCAGTTTCTGTCTTAAGTGGGGTCCCTTGGAAGAAAGGTTCATCCTGGGAGGAGTGGGAAGATGGAACTCCCCACCCAGTGGTCGTCAGCAGGGCTGCAAATGAGAAAAGACACCCCTTCTTTGGGCGGACACACGTCTGCCATGGCGCAGCGTGGTGAGTGAGCACGCCCGGGGAAGAGCCAGCTCCACCCCCCGTGGCCCGCCCCTGGTCCTGGATGTTCCAAAGGAGCTTCTTCTGCAAAAGAGCGTAATTCAGCAGTGGCTGCTTGAGATCCGTCGGGGACCCCCAGCGAGCAAGGACAGAACTGAAGGGGAACACGTGTCCCCACACTGAGGACCGGGTGGTTCCCCTTCCCGCCTCTGAGCCCCCTCGGGCCTCCCTCTGACACCCACTCCCCTTCCCACAGAAACAGCGAGAGCCACGGAAAGGCCGGCTCATCGTGTGTGGCCACGGGACGCTGGAGCGGGACGGGGTCTTCTGCCTCCTCAGCGATGACCACGGCGCCTCCTGGCGCTACGGCAGCGGGGTCAGCGGCATCCCCTATGGCCAGCCCAAGCGGGAAAATGACTTCAACCCTGATGAGTGCCAGGTCAGGAGTCCATGGCTCCACCCCCTCCCAGCCGCCAGCCTTGGCTCAGGGACAGCCCCTCGCGCAGCCCCTCCCTGGGTCTCCCTGAGCCTGTTCTCTCTCCTCAGCCCTATGAGCTCCCAGATGGCTCAGTTGTCATCAACGCCCGGAACCAGAACAACTACCACTGCCACTGCCGGATCATCCTCCGCAGCTACGACGCCTGTGATACTCTGAGGCCCCGGGACGTGACCTTCGACCCTGAGCTGGTGGACCCTGTGGTTGCCGCAGGAGCGGTAGCCACCAGCTCCGGCATTGTCTTCTTCTCCAACCCAGCCCACCCGGAGTCCCGTGAGTGTCTGCGGGCGGGCCGGGGAGGGAGGGAGGGCGGGGTTGGGCCCGTGGCCTAGAGAAGGCCTGGGCAGAGACCCTGCGTTCCTGACTGCTGCTCTTCCCAGGAGTGAACTTGACCCTGCGCTGGAGCTTCAGCAACGGTACCTCTTGGCGGAAAGAGACAGTCCAGCTCTGGCCAGGGCCCAGCGGCTACTCCTCGCTGGCAGCCCTGGAGGGCGGTGTGGGCGGGGCGGGCCAGGCCCCCCTGCTCTTCATCCTGTATGAGAAAGGCCGGAACTACTGCACAGAGAGCATCTCCCTGGCCAAGGTCAGCGTGTACGGGACGCTCTGAGCTGCACACTTGCCACGGCGAGAAGGCCCTGGCCTCAGCGGCCTCAGGACCGTGGCCTGCGGAGGGTCGCCGGGCGCCCAAAGGACAGTTCCACCTTCCTTTAGACTCCAGCCTTTGGCAAAATCAAGTTTTCTTTGACAGGGAAATCGCTCCGTTAGGCTTCCTTTCCATAGCGCTGGGCCTGGCCCTGCCCTTCCTGCCCCCAGGGGCCTTGCTGGGCCCTTCCCTGGGCCTGTAGGCTGAATAAACGTGAACTCAGGGACTTGGGGAGGCTGCGCTTCCTCTCTGAGGTACGACGGTGGCTGTGGAGAGGGTTGGTGAAGCGCCTGGCGGGCAGGATGCTCGCTTTCAGGGGAAGGGACTAGACCAGTGATGGCGAACCTTTTGAGCTCGGCGTGTCAGCATTTTGAAAAACCCTAACTTAACTCTGGTGCCGTGTCACATATAGAAGTTTTTTGATATTTGCAACCATAATAAAACAAAGACATATTTTTG